TATTATTAAAAATACTAGCATGTTTTCCTTCTACTGCATCAAAAACTCAGCTTCTGGCAAGTTCTACCCTCCTCAAACTGAGTGTGCTTTCTAAGACAACAAAGAATAAATCTGCTCCCCTCTTTCTTACAGCACTCCTATTTTCTAAAGCCCTCCCCAGTGCTTTGTCTACCCTGAACACTCAAAGGCTGCAAAATGACTTCTGTCTGCCAGATCTTCTCTTAACAAATCCCTCTGGTCTCCTGAGACATCTTATCTTCCACCTCCCCAGCTATAGCACAGCCCAAAGCAGCCACTTCCAGTGCAGACTTGGGAAGACAAGCTCACCATTATCTTCCTTCTCTCCTCAAAGGAAGAAGAGAAGAAGACAAAGTTTTCTGTGCTTTTTAAGCCTTTTTGTAAACACTCCCCAAAATGCATGATCATGTTGAGGAAAAAATATGATAGTGTCAAGTTGTCATTGGCAAGGCCAATGAGGCCAACATTCATGAAACTGGAGTGGAGGTGAAGAAGAATCCTCTTGAAATGTTACACGTACCCTTGCTGGAAGATTTTGACTCCTACGTTAACACTGCCTACTCAGGGAGACATAAGGCTTTCACAAACATTGGAGTCTTATTATTGTTGTTGTTAAGACATTTATTTTGCTCTCATTTGAAAACTGTTGGTGCCTAGCAACCCAGTGCCAGCAAAGCTAAATTTTTTACAAGAAGCATTATTAGACCAGAGTTTTTTTGGATCTGTTTTGGAAAAAGATTTGTTCTTCCCATTAATGACAAGCATGTTCTATAACTGGAAGATTCCCTGCACGTAATGGAAATGGTTTGCATACTACTCATTCAATATCTTTTACATTAAAGGATGACAGGCACCAACCAACTGGAGAAAGAGGGCTAGATGTATGCCATTTTGGTAGCAACAGGAAGGGAACTATAGCCTCTTCTTTGTCACAAACAGATCACTGTGACTGTTGGGACAATAAAGTTGAGACTAAGTGGGGAATCCATTCCACCAATAACCCTGGGAACAGGGATGCAATATTCTAGCTTTCGGAAAAGATAGGTCAACAACAATAATGCAATATAGTTCAATATTCCTCTATGCATGCACTATTTAACATTCTGGTGATCACATTAGATACCTGAGGGGAAACAGTTATAATTACCCCAGTATGGGTAATTGATTGCTGAAACCCCTCTCATGGATACCAGAATCTGAGGATGCTCAGGCCTCTTAAATAAAATGGCACCATGTAGCTTTTGCACATCACCCATACACTTAAAATTATCTCTAGATTATGTGTAATACCTAAAACAATGAAAGAGCTATATAAAACTTGTTTTACTATATTGTCCAGGGAATGCTGACAAAGAAGAAAAGCTGTACAAGTTCATGCACACATGCAATTTTCCCCTAATGCTGTCCATCAGTGGTTGGTTGATGCCACAGATGGACAGTGCGTGTGCATACCAAAGGCTCAGTGTGTTCCCTTCTCTTCTTCTGTTCTCCTGTGAACAGAAAATACTGGTTAATTGAGAACTTTTGCTTATCACTTTTGGCCATATGTATCACAAAGTCCACCAAAGAAGCCTCTGGATAGGACATGGACATTGGCCATTCTCACAAAGTATGGTCATCATACATGATCTCCATTTTCACACCAAGAAAAATGTGACATGTCCTCCCAGGGTCCTCATTTCAAAAGCTACAATGCTTATTTTGACAAAGAATTCTTGTGAAGGAAAAGTCTTCTGTGACTAAATGTACTTGCCTCTTGGCATTCTGGGTCCAGAGAAGCTAATACACAAAGGCTAGCACTAGAACAGATGGCCCACCAGAGCACAAGAAACATTGCCAAGGTCAAGGCCAACTCAAAGCAACCCAATGAAAACCTTCAGTAAGATAAGTGTAATGGGATTATGATTATACTAGTATATAAGGTGGCTCAGGTGAGAGTAGCATTATATACCTTTCTTCATATGGACTGTCACTTTTTCAGTATCAACAGAAAATAAGACAGATATTAAAAGAAAACCACCCTCAGACCCATTTTTCCTTCCTTTCATTAATGACGTCAATATTCTCCCAGGATTGAATTCTTATTACACGTTCCTCTGAGGAACCTCCCCCCACACCACACACACACATCTGTCTCTGAACATCTCTGGATGTTGCTGAATGATGCTCTTTACTCTGAAATTCGCCATCCTCCCAAGTTTGTGCTTAATCCACACCACATGCCCTCCCACCTGGTCTGTTTATTCCTCTACTTGTTATGAAGAACTGGATGATCAGTTCACATGAAAACAGTGAGTGGTCCTGGTAACCACAAAGTTCAATACACAAGTCCTCATGTGACATCATCACCCTCTTCACACCTGGCCGAACTCTTTCCCACTTCATCTCACACTATTCACTTATGTGCCAACAAATACTGTATTCACAAAACACACACCTCCTTCCTGTGCTTTTTTTCTGGTTACATGATCAATATCCTGTTTTTGAAATGTCCTCTTAACACATCTCCACCTGTTCAAATTCCATTCTAAAATCTACTCAAACCGCTTACTCAGGAAAGTCTTCCCAATTCCCCAGTTGGTCCTAAACTCTCCCCGAAAGTCTTGACAGCTTCCTCTCCATCTCTCCAACAACACTTGGACTCCACCACATCTTGTCACAACTTCTGGACATTTCTTTTTCCCCTTCTAGGACTCAGGGTGTTTTCCCCCCCGAAATCGCACATCACACTGGACTCGCAGCAGGCACTCAGGAAACGATGCTTCACAAGTATGCTTTATGAAGAAAAAAACTTAGACACAACTCACAAATTCTAAGGCAGAATCCCAAAGTAAAAAGCGTTGGGAAGTTCCCAGTGCTCTTCCACCTTGGAGATACAATTTTCTGGTTTGCAAGAGAAGAAAGACCTTGATAATATTTTTGGCCCAGGAATATTCTTAAAACAACATCTAATGTATCATGTGCAAATGAAGCCAGACCATATGGAGCAAGTTTCCTATTGAGTCCATATGGATTTTATGAGGGGAAAAAAAAAAAAAAAAAGCAAAACACAGCAAAGAGGCTCAGAAAAATTGTGATCTCCAAAACAGATTAAGTAGGGGTCTTTTTCTAACTGTAAAATTCAGCTAGCACTGCTTGCTTTAATTATATGAAGTTTCCTCTTTGCTATAGTGACTTTCCTAGAGTCAGCCTTTTTCACATTCCTGGGGAGGGAAAAAAAGCAATGAAGGGAAAGAAAAGACCTCCCTCTCTCATCCTTCCCAATTTGATCCATTCTCTCACGGACACAACAGAGGCCTGCCTCTTCCTTTCCCCTTGTGCTTTTGCACCCCAATCTGTTATTGCAATTTTTCCTTCCCCACAAGATTGTTCTTTTTTAGCCTTTCTTATCTTTACTCTTTTTCCTTCTTGTCACCAAATACTCAGGGGAACTCCCTCCCTCACCACTTTTGAGTCAAACGCGGGATCCCCTGGGTGTATCTGCGGGTTAGTTGTCAAGGAAACGAGAGGCTGCTGTGGATATACATGTCCATGTGAAGTCAGTCCACACAACCACCCCTGTCAGCAGAAATGTTCTTCCTCAACGCAGGGCCTGGGCTCTGCAGTGAGGTCCAGCTGAGCAGGAACAAAGAGCTGGCAGTACAAGCATACAAGAGTAAAATGAGAGAGAACAGAGAGGTAATGGGGAAATTACGTTAAGAACTGTTAACTAATCCAAGCTGACAATGCTCTCTCCAACCGCCACCACATCGCCCTCTCTGTCCAAGCCTGGACCCAGGCACACAGTGGAGGATCTGGGGGTCAGAGTCCACCTCCTCCCTCCCAATAGGAAACCTCAGTTCTTTGATAACATCAGTTGTGCATTCACAGCATTGTCCAGCCATGGAAAGGAAAAGAAGGAAAGCCAGGCCTACTACCTAGCTCTAAATAGCACCATTGCTGAGAGCAAGGCCACTTTCATCCACTGTGACTATGACAACTGGCTCACCAAAGCTACTTGGAAATCCCTGGAAGATCTGTTAGCAAAGTGCAAGTCAAGGCTCTCCACTTCCCAGCAGAAAAATCACATGCTTATCTCCCCAGATTCAAATGAGGGAAAAAAACCAGACTATAGTCTGACGTGGAGCCCCTCTTACCCAACAGCAAGACCCAAAACCTGCGTCTACACAAATCCATTGCACCAAAGTTCCCTAACTAGGATTTAATCAAATGATACTTGAGCTACAATAATAATAAGAGCTATTTCAATACCTCTGCTCTAACGATGTCTTTTTTCTAAAAATGAACAGTAGCCATCTTCCCATGATCTGTCTGGATGGCTTAGTGTGTTGCTGACATTTAGATCCATAACTGTAACATAAATTCAACCCCACTGGCTATGAGAAAACAGAACCAGACAGCCAAAAACGACTTACACCCACAAATACAAACTATCTTTGCCATACTAATAAAGAAAACCCCCAAACACGGCATTCAGCTTAATTTTTCAATGGAACCCATGTTCACACAAGTGAGAACTCCTAACTCTCTGTAATACTCATATACAGCTTTTGCAGAGCTTTCTTAAAACTGTGGATCGCCTCAAAATTATTCAGCTGTAATGTTAGTGTCCTATCCAAAAGAAATTATATAATTTGAACTTGATCTGAAGAGAGAGAAACCTAAAAATTCTTCAGTTGGGATGCAGAATAAACAAAACTGAATTTTCTTAAATTAGTTAAATATATATGGCCAGCATGAACAATGACAGGAATTTTTGTCATTTTGCAACATTATCAAATAAAATCATTATTATTTATTATAATAATAATTTATTATATTATTATAATTAATAATTATTTATTATTGCTAACAATAATTCAAATGAGACAGAAATGGGAGGGGAGGGGAGTAGAAGACAGACACCTAGAGGACAGTTATCCTTTCTATCCCATGGTGACAAGTCAACAGCAGCAATTCTAAGGGAAGACTGTCCACTTTACCTTCTCATGGTTTTCGATCAAGATCTCCACAACAATGTTCTGAAACTTCAAGTCCATGATGGCAGCAACAGTTTCCTCCTGGGGCCTCATCAGAGTTGGTCCAAACACCACTCCCAAATTGGCCACAGTCATTAGATTCTGCTTTGAGTGATTTGAAACACTAACGTTGAAAGGGGTGGGAGGTAGGGGGAGATTTGTTTAGTTAGGGGCAATAATTACAGAACATACCATATTCCGCGAGTTTGTATTCCCTTAAAAAAATGGAGACCCAAAAGCATCATTAGTGTCTGCTCTGAAATGCCGGGACCTGACAACACCCTACAAGCTGAGGCCCCTGACTGCTTTACTACATCTGTCTGTCTGTTTGTCTGTCTCTGTCTCTCTCTCTGATGCTCCACTCTAGCCACTGTGATTCTGTGTATATGCTAAGCCTGTTTCCTCCAAAACTTAGAACACCCCATCTTTCTCTTACTACACTATTAGATTGCATGACACCTCTGTAAGAATTGGCTTTGCAAGCAGGCATAGCTTCATGACAGCACCCTGACTCACTCCTCCGACCTCGTACTGTTGGACAGTCAACAATATGGACAACTGTTCTCAACAGCCCCACCACCGAATTCAGGTCCCAACTCAAATATTTCATCCTCAAAGAGCCTCTCCATAATAAAGTCTCACAGTCTACACATATTCCTCTTTCCTTACTCTAGTTTGTGTTTTTGTCACCACCTGAAGTTATTTTATATTTTTATTATAATCTGTTTACCTGCTTCCTTAGAAAATGAGCATCATGAAAGTAGGGATTTGTTTACCTTGTTCAACTGTCTAAAAGAAGACATTCAATACATATTCATTTACCAAATAAATAAATGTTTACTCCAGTAGGAGGGCCTCATGCAAGTCATAATACCCACTGGCTTTCAGGTTTATTAATGTAAAATAAAGGTTTTATAACAGTGTTCCTCACTTTCCTCCCTAAAATTTTATAGTGTTAGTGATCTGAGAGTTATTTGTACTTGAAAAAAGGGCCAATTTCTCCACTGAATTATTAGGCATTTTGCTTGCTTTTTAAAAACAGAAGAAAAAAAGAAAGGACCCTAAGAAAACTCTCCACTACTAGATTAAACAAACTTCAAGGGCATGTTCAAACTCAGAGTTAGGTAGGTGTGAAACCAAGCTAAATTTACTAACAGACTTAGAAACCCATTTCCAGAATCTGTGCATGGGGAAATATATAGTACTCTCTTCTTTCACTTCAAATCAGACTCTGAGCTGCTGGCAGTGCTGTTAAGCAAATAATTATACAACTTTAGGAAAGCATTCATTTCACCACTCTTGTCCAAAACACACATAATAAGTCAGGCACCCAGCCTGCTGGGCCAGGTGTGGTCCCGGCTCCAACCGACCCAAGCCCAGCACACTCCACAGCACCCCCAGCAAAAGGGGAAAGAGAAAAGGAGGGAAAGCTTACTTTGTCAAGTGTTTCACCAAAATGTCCAACATCTCTTTATTTTTCTCTGGAAGTTTGTGCACCAAGAAATGGATAGCATTAACTCGAGACTCTGGGCTGCCACTTTCTTTAAAAAAAAGAAATAAAAAAGTTAAAAGAATATTCAGAATCAATTACAACCCCCCAAACTAACAATTACAACAGCTCATCTGTTCAATATTTTGCTACCTTAACCTTAAAATATTATCTGTCTTTCTTATCATTGCTAATCTTTTAGGGCCCTCCATTTGTCACCTATAAGGTCATTTCCCATAGCTGCAACTTGTGTCTTTCCCTCATACTTGTATAGGTACAGGGAGCTGCCGCAGCCTCTCCTGCTGGCATGTGCCCTGAAAGTTGGCCCACAGCTCACTTGATGGAGTCCAGAAACTGACAACTGGCCCAAGATGGGATGAAGGTCAATACCAGCAACCAGTTAGTCCCTGTTGTGGGGTGAACGGTATTCCGTCTGAGCCTTAGCTCCACAGAATGGGGCAGTTTTTTAAAGTAAACTTGGGATTTGTTGTGATCAGGTAGTGTGCCCATGGGAGAAGTGCAGACTTACAGAAGGAAAAAGTGCATCCTCAGTGCCCGAGAAACAGAAGGTGTGGCAGGCCACAAAGGGTCACACAGGGAAGCACTTGGTGCTGGGGGAGAGGGGATCAGGAATGCAGGGAAAGGGGGAGATGTGGTCAAAGGTGTTCATTGTGGTGTCTGCAGGAAGGAAAAGGAGAGGCATTGGCAAGCGAGGCCTAGCCTTGGATGGTCAGAACGACTTCAGTGGGCTATGAGGCAGAGTAGCTGTCCCCAACTCTCTGTTACCTGGCCCTGGGGTGTTAGAATACTAGCCTAGAGGGAGAGCTGAGTGGGGGTGGGGGGTGGAGGGGAGGATGGGCTCCTGACTGACTGATTGATGGCTCCCATATGGAGCATTTTGGGGCTTACAACTAGGAACTGGCTAGCTCTGCAGGGCCAGTGAGGCCCAGAAAGACCCTTAAGTCAATAAAACCAACAACAACAACAAAAAAAATGTCCTCATAAGAAAAGGCAGAAGGAAGACAGGATGCAGGGGCGCTCATTCTGTGACAACAGTGATCCGAGTGAAGCCCTCCACAAACCAAGGAACCACCAGGAGGTGGAACAGACAAGAAGGATCCATCCCTACAGCCATCAGAAGGAACACGCTTTTTTGATTCTAGACTAGAATTGTGACAGAAAAAACTTCTGCTCTTTTAAATCACTTGGTTGAGAGTACTCTTGTTATAGCAATTTTGGAAAATTAGCATATTCTCTCTACCCCCTAAATACTGGAATTATTTTTTATCCATGGCTCTTACTAATAATGGACCCTGATCCCTTTACTGAACTTGTTATTGGGAAATTATCAAACAAAATCAATAAAAAGCTGCTTTTGAAGATCATGTTACGGTTTCCAGGGGTGTGAAAGAAGTGATTGATGAGAATTAAGAGCTCGGTTTAGGCTAACATTTACTTTTTCAAATCCTAGTATCTTTATGTTTATTTTTTTCTTATGATAAATATTAAATATCTGCTCTGTAAAATTTTAGACATCGAAAAAGCAAGGGCATGTAAAAATGACTAAATTCTGTAATATATTTGAGAAATAACATGTAATCAGACTAAAAAGAATTTTTAGTGATCAGAGAGAGGGAAAGAGCAAGAGCAAGAGAGAACGCAACACAAAAGCAGACAAGATTGGAGCAGGAATTTCACAAAGCATTTATCCATATGACTAATAAACACATGAAAATGTTCTGAATCTATACCAGGAGTAGAAATTAAAACCACCATAAGCGACACCACTCATCCATCTGAATAGCTTTACGTGAGTCCTAAGCTCTGGCAAGGATCTGAGGCAACTGTAACTCTCATATGTTAGCAAGGTGGGAAGTTTTTCCCTTTGGTGCTGAGGATGGAACCCAGGGGCTCGAGAACGTCAAGCACGAGTTCCATCACTGCACCATATCCCAGCCACAGATGCTCTGGAAAAGTATGAGGCAGAAATTCCTCTCATAGGCACAGAACCAGGAGTTCTGCACATAAAGGTTCACTGAAAAACACATACTAGAATCCAGCTCAGAGCAGCACTCTGTAATAGCCCCAGACTGGAAACTGAAAAGTCCATTAACAGCAAAATCAACAAACCTACTGTGTTATGTTCACACAATGGAGCACAAGGAGAATGAATGGACGACTACTTCACACAACACGGATGAATCTCAGAAGATGAGCAAAAGAAGCCAGACACACGAATATTTCTGTCTGGTTCCATTCATAGAAAGTGCAAGTGCAACAACCCTAAACTATGACATCACAAGCTGGAAGCAGCCACACTCCATAAGGGAAGACAGTGACAACATGGTGTACAGAAGGGCTTTTGAGGTTCTGATAACATTTGGTTGCTTGACCTATGGGATGATCATACAGGTATATGGGGATCTTCATTTTGTAAAAATTTATTAACTGTACACTTATTTGTGTACATTTGTGTTATGTTTCAACAAGTTCATGAAATTTAAATTATCCATAATAAATCTGACCCTAAAATAAGCTGATAAGTTTTTGGGTTTAATTCTTTTAGCAATCCCCTCCCTTCATTTGGAATCGAATATTGAAACATCCCATGTCATTGAATTAATGACAATTTTCCATGTCATTAAGTGCAGTGCCACACTGTCAACTTTACAAATACTCAGGTTGCTTCCAGTGTTTGGAAGGTTAAGTTTGTCCTGGTTTACATTCCTAGTGATACTGTCTGAGAGTGAGAACAAGACTTTACAAGGGCACATCAAGACAACTGTTGCTAAAAGCAGCAAAAAGGCTAAGAAATTAAAAGGCATATGAGAAAGCAAAACACAAATAATCAAGTCACAAAACTTCAGACTAAATTTATCAGTAAAAACCAGAGCACAGCTGTCTGAAGAGGGAAGTGATAAATTATAACCGAGTTCTAAGTCTAGAGTTAAAACCAAGATATTCATCAATATTGAACAACGTGAAAGCAATAAAAATATTTCAATTTGCAGCTTTGACTTTTAAAAAATAAAGCAGAAGCTCTGAAAAAACAGTGAAAATTTCCAAAGGAATAAAGATAATCTCTAAGGATAAGAATTTTTTATTTTGGACATTTTTTGAGAATTTTAAAGATCAGTTAGAGATGAATCAACATGGGTCATAACACGTGTACATGAAAGCAATGCTAGGAATCTCTCTGTATAGCTACCCTTAACTCAACTAGCAAAAACGCTTTGTCTTTCTTATTATGCTTGTGTCTTTTCTTCACCAAAATCGGTGATAAGGGTAGAACAGGACCTGCCTGGAACTGAGGGTGGAAGGGGGGAGAGGGTGAAGGAGAGGTGCAGGGGGGAGAAATGACCCAAGCAATGTATGCACATGTGAATAAAAGAACAAAAGAATGAAAAAAATAAATAAATAAATATTCACTATCAAAAAAAAAAAGGAATAGTTTAAATGTTGGGGAAAAAAAAGCTTTGTAGTAAAAAGCTACTTGTAACTCAAGAGTCTATCCCATTAATAATCACCTTTCTCCAGTGAACATTTAAATTTTTAGGATTCATTACTTAGTGAGACGTATGAGCTAGAGAAATAAGTTGTCTACCCTACAGGGATAGAGTTTGTCATTTCTAAAATAGTGGAATCAGTTTTGAAAAAGTCAAAACATTCCATTTTTTTCTCTGTCCCGCTCCCACTCGCCCATCCAACTCTTTTTAAATCACACACACAATTTTTTTCCAAGTAAGCATTTTCTCTCTTTAAAAAAATGTATTTTTAGTACTTTGTTCTCTATTTTGACATTAATCAAAATTTCTTATTAGCAGGCATTTCTACAACATACATTAAGCCCCCCCCAAAAAAAAGTTTCCTAAAATAAACTCTCTTCAGTAGCTTACAATATACACATTTTATTATATTTTTAATTAATATGGAGGCCTAACTTTTTTTTAATCTAGGATATTGAATCACTCATATACCACATTACTGAAATATGTCATGGGGATTAGTTTACTGTAACAGAAAAACTGTAATTGTAAAACTATAAATCAGTGTCCATCACACTTCAGGGTCTAATTGCCTATGAGGGAGCCGGAAAAGGCCCAAACAAGCTTACTGGAGAGTATTAAAGACTTATAAGCAGATAAATGTTCAATCCTTTTAGTATTTATTATAATAAATACACAATATGTCAATACTGTAATTTAAGGAAGGAATTAGCAGTAACTTCTCAAGCACAACCCAAGGGACATGAGGGGGTCAGTCAATGGACAGCAATTCTATGGGGTCCCCATCCATTGTGAAGTGATGGCACCAGGCTAAAGGAGATGGATGTCGTTACACATCCAATTCTCTTAACTTCCAGGTTTCCAAACCACCTGACTTTGTCTTGCTTTTCATGCCTGTTAACCGACATGGATAAAATATTCTGGTTACATAAACACCAGCGCACTGGACCCCACAATAGTTATGTTTCTCATCAGAAATGCCTAAAGAACTTTGTGGGTATTGATTGAGCTTCCCAGGTAAAGTGAGTACACTGAACACAGCAACACATGCCTTCTAGATCAAGCAACAGTTAAGGGATGTTTAAGTTGTCTTTCTTGTGCTAATTTTAATATGAGTCCAATGCAGAAGAATGGATCCATGCTTGACATATCCAAGAGTCTGAGCCCACAGACCAAAGGATAGTAAGTCATTCTGGTGGAGGCCTGCCAGCCTGCCAGGAGTGAACAATCCTGCATAAGCCAAGGAAACTGTTTTAATCTTAGGGATTTCTACCCCAACAGTCCAGATTAGTCTCTCCTAAAATGAATGGATGGATGGTCTTTAGTTCAGATTAATTAAATGTTAATTTCTGAAAGAAAATTTTTGTAATGTTTCCAATGCATTAAACATTGAATAGTATATCAATAATCTGGGTTTTTTTCTAGAAAAGGAACAAGATATTTCGCTTTCTGTGGTGACAACACAGAAACAAAATTCACATTTTTATATCATGAACTTAAGAAATTAACTCAGAGGTCCTCAACAGAAAACTACAGAAAAGAAACCGATGAGAAAAAAATGGAAGGACTCAAGAGAAACTTGATCTCTCATCAGAAAGAAAGAAGACACAATCTCAACACCACAGAACAGCTGGGAACCGCCACACAGGGCTAAACATCAAAACTTAGTGGCTGTACTGGTGGCAGTCATCAATAAAGACTGGCAATGCTTGGTAATTGCCTCAGTCACTCAACTAGCAGACATTTTAACCAAGGTAAGCTGCGCCATTGTCAATGGAAAATGATGACTTAACCACAACCCCAGTTCTCCAACAATATTCAAAAGAGAAGAATAATCTGGGTCATCTGATTTCTAGAACTGTTTTTACTCAATACTTACATGGACATATGCGAGAGATAGAGAATTTACCTCTGCAGTCTCTCCTACGAGGCAGCCAATACAGATAGGGAGACTCACAAGAGATGAAAACTGAAAAACTCAACTCTGCTCTGGAAACTTTGGACCCCAAAATAAACCTATTTAGTACATATACTTTTTTTCCTCATTAAAAAAGCTTTCTTCAGGTCCCATTCCAACCACAACTGCACTTAGGTGCAAAACCATGCCAATAATTACAGTAGCTACAGTATTCCTTTAGAACAGTCCTGCCATTCAAACCTTTGTGCAGACTCTACAAAAGCATCACCACCAGGTCAGGAATCAAAACACAAGGTGTGGTCCAATCGGAGATGATACTTTTTGCATCTATACAATTCATTGCACCATATCAATCAAATATTTCTTCAACGAACTCTACCCCATGGATTTCATTACTTCTTCAAAGGTAGCAATCGTCCTCATCTGGTAAAATACTAGAATTTTGAACACACTGCTTTCAGTTATGAGCACCACGAGAATACTCGTGACACTAACTTGTGGTCAATTAAAACTTTATCCCATAATCACTTTATCTTTCTCCAATTCTCAAAGGATTCTACGTGGCAGCTGGCACTCTTCTGTTTTTTCCAGTCTCTCAGGCGAACATGAAACAATTGTCCTCCAACTAAGTTTAATTTCTCTTTCCCTTGCTTGCCAAAAATGCCACAGGGAAGAAATCAAAACAACTAAGCATTTGCTTCAGTTTTTACCAAGAAAACTTTCCCCTACTTCCTTGATCATATAAAAATTCTTTTTAAAAAATTCTTCCATGTGAAAATAAAACTGAATTGAACCATATCTTTGCCTTTTTCAAAAGCTTATTTTATGCAGATAGTCTAATGGAGCCTACATACTGCTTATTTCTGTGACATACTAGGAACTGTTCCACTCACTGGAATGGAGACCTCACAAGAAGGTGACATTTAAAGCAATGTTCAGGCAGCAAAAATACAGGACCCTGAGGGATTGCATTTTTCATCTATTTTCCAACAGATTAAACTGTGATTCTACATCCAACAGGAAAAAACAAAAGGAAATGAAAACACAGTTTTGGCTACTGTCAGTGCACCTGTGCAAACCAATACTACAGGGTCTCACCAGTGGAGCTGGGGTTTTCAATTTTAAATAAGGTCTTCTATAATCTGGCAAGTTACTTAACATCCCAACCTCAATTTATCTAGCTATTAAACACCTAGCACCAGTATACTTCAGAAGAGCGGGATAATTAAACAGCATGTGTTGAATATGACAAGTGAACTGTAAGATAATAGAGAGAAAACCAGAAAGTCTCAAATGAGTATGACTCACAAAACAAACCTAATCACAAATTAAAATTCTACCAACTCTAGGCCTTTTTCATTCAACATTTTATCACGTATAATTCACTCTTGATCAAATATTATTTGGGCTTCGGGCATCATCTCCTAAAATTTCTTCTGGCTGTAATTTCCATCTAAATATCTAAGTGAAACCATTTCCAAACCACTAACGTGTCCAGCCTCTTGCAAGTTAAATACTCATCTGTTCCTGGAGCATTCTGCTCATACCATTATTACATATTTTATAGTATAATGAGAAGTATGTATGCCCCTAAAACTTGCTACAGAATTGGCTTCAAGTTAGGAATCCTACCATGGGTCTACATATCCAGTACCAACACGTGACTAACATGCAATAAGCGATAATTACTGTCCACAAATGCATGAATACATAGTTCCTTTTGTCACTCTCTAAAAGTGGGGGGAGGGGACCATTCTTCTAAAGTGCTGTCTCTTTTTAACACAGATCGCCATAATATTAAGTTAAATTTTTCGCACGGAAATGTTCACTGTGTACACACTTTAACCACAAAACCGTCTCTATACACCTCCACGTAATACTTACTGACTGGAACAATGAACTCTCCATGTAACTCGTAGGTCATGAGAGGCTCAGGAAGACTCCTGCATTTAAAAAAAAAAAAAAAAAGACAGCTCAGAATTACCCAATGAATCCAAACAGGTTATCTCCCAGTTCATTTCTTATAAATGGGTTTTAATTTGTTGTGCATTTCTTAGTTAGTGTGCAAAACTTTCCTAGGAATATTTTTACTTACCAAAAGATACATAAACCAAAAGGATCGCTTTATTAACTGTAACCTATACCAGGCACTACCAAAACTGATGCAAACACAAATCCCTATCAGGTGTAAACATACAAAATTTCGTATCTAATCTTGGAAAATACCTTTATAAACATCTGGGTTTACATAGAAGACTCCCACATACGAAGTAAAGTCAAACCAAATGTAAGTGACTTAGATTTGAAAACCATCTTTAATCGATCATGCCACAAAAAAATATATGGAAAACATTAAACTCTAAAATATCAAATCCTCTCCTCGTAAATCTACTATAAAAGAACTGTTCATCCTTATGCCTATATAATGAGAGAAATATTAAAAAATTCTGACTGTATAAAACAGTAAAAAATGCATAATTAAACTGGTGCCAACTTAAATATACACGCATTGTTTCGGTTTAAAACGAACTACATAAGCGGCAGTATAATTTATCCTGTGGAGAGAATGCTACAGTTTAAGCAACATTGCTAAAAAATTGTACAAGATCAAATCTCCTAACATCGTAAACACTTAAAGAATACCTAGGCAAGTCTCAATTCGCTTGGCTTTTCTGCAGGGCCACCTGGCAAGATATTAAGAACTTTTGAAGGGCTCAAATCTTATAATCCAGAAATTCCTCCTCAAATGTTTAAAAAGAAAAATTAAAAGCATGCACACACACACACACACATACACACACACACACACACACAAATGTAAACATTCACAAAAGCTGAAGTACTAGTAGGGATACAGAAGGTCATTCCATGAAGTGATCGTCACATCAAGAACCAAACTAAATGTTCATTCATGGACCTAATAACAGAGCTTCAAAATAAACTAATAGAACTCAAGGAGAAATAGACAAATCCACAATTATAGTCACAGATGTAAATTCTTCTCTCAGTAATTGACAGAAGGTAGAAAATCAGTTAGGATACAGAAGACGTGAACAAAACTAACTGGCATGCCTATCACCTGAATGACACCATCCAGAAGCAGCAGAACACACATTCCCTGTACAAATTCAACAATTTAGATGAAATGAACAAATGTCTTGAAAGACAGAAACAACCAAAGCTCACTTACTTACAAAATAGAGAACCAATGTAGTCCTATAGATAAAGAAATTAAATTCATAGTTTAAAATCTTGCCTGTAAGAGAATCCTGCACCCAGATGACTTTTGCTAGCAAATTCTACCAATTAAGAAAGAAACAGTATCAGTTCTATACATATTTTTCCAGAAAACAGAGGAAATACTTCCTGACTCATTCTGTGAAGGAAGCGTTACGTCAATACCAAAATTGAAAACGTTACAAGAGAACAACAGAGCACAATCATCAATGAACTCAGGCACAACTATTCTGAATTAAAATGCTAGTGAATTAAGTGCAACAAGAAAACTAAAAGAACGCTAGATCATAATCAAGTTGGCATAGTGTGATTGTTTAATATTTTAAAATATCAATGCAATATATCTTAATAGTGGGAGGAAGGGAGTATGGGAAGGAAGGAGGGAAGGAAAAACCAGTGTGACCGTCATAGCGGACATTACAGAGGAAAAAGGCTCATCTTTCCCACAAATGATACTAGATAACTGGACATCCATATGCAATGTGAATTTCAATCTCTACCTCACAGCTTACACAAACACTAACTTAGACTAAAATCAAAATGTAAAACCTCAAACTACAAAACATCTAGAAGAAAAGACAACAAAATCTTTGTGACTTTATGTTAAGCCAAGATTTCTTGCTAGATTACCAAAATCACAGTACAAGAAAGGAAAAATTGGTAAATTTGATTTCAAAAAAAATTAATTTTTTTCTCTTTGAAAGACTATTAAGAAAATGAAAAATAAGCTATCCATTGAAACATTTGCAAAGCATGTATCTGAGAAAGGACTTGCTTCTAAAATATATGAAGAGAACTTTCAAACTGCACTAAGACAATCTAACTTTTTAAAAATCTGAGCAAAAGATATGCACAGACACTTCATCGGAGAACAGAGTGATGGATGATACAAATTTAACTAAGATATGTTGTAAGCACTTTCATAAATGTCACAATGTACCCCCAGTACTACAATAATAAGATAATAAAAAAATAAAGCAATAAAAAAAAATACATAGGTGGCAAATATACACAGGAAAAAATGTTCAACATTGTCAGCTGTTGGGGAAGTTCACATTAAAAACATAATGAGGTATCACCATTCACCCAGTAGAATGGCTATATTAATAAAGAATGACCAATCAAGCAAGGATCGTGAGGAAGTGGGACTCTTGTACTCTATTGATGAGAATGTAAAGAAGATATCAAATTTAGAAAAAAGTTTTTCAACTCCCCAAATATTCCACTCTAAGATTTATCCAAAAGAAATAAAGCCTATGTCTATTTAAAGATTTAGGCACAAATGTTTTTGACAGTTTATGGGCAATAGCCAAAAGCTACAAACAATTCAAATAATCTTCAATAGACTAATGTATTTCTTTAAAAAGAAATTGTGGTGATTTGAGGCCAACCCAGGTAAAAAAAATTAGTGAGACCCCCATTTCAATCAGCCAGGGGTAATGGCATGTGCCTCTGGCCCCAGCTACATAGGAGACTACATGGTGTAAGGCCAGTATAGGGAACAATGCAAGATCCTACCTGAAAAATAACTACAGCAAAAAAGGCTAGGAGTAGCTCAAGTGGTTAGAGCACCTGGCTAGCAAGCAGGAGGCCCTGAGTTCAAACCCTAGTACTACAGGTTACTCCAGAGGCACCTGCACACCCATGTTTATTGCAGCCCTATTCACAATAGCCAAGTTATGGAAACAGCCAAGATGCCCCACAACTGATGAATGGATCAAGAAAATGTGGTATTTATACACAATGGAATTCTACTCAGCCATGAAGAAGAATGAAATCTTATCATTCGCAAGTAAATGGATGGAACTGGAGAACATCATTCTGAGCGAGGTTAGCCAGGTCCAGAAGACCAAAAATTGTATGTTCTCCCTCATATGTGGACGTTAGATCTAGGGAAAATATGGCAGTGTGGTTGGACTTGGGTCACATGATAAGTGGAGAGCACACACAGGAGGTATGAGGACAGGTAAGAAAAAACAAAACATGATAGTATCTGATGTCCCCACTGCCGAGGAACTAATATGGAAACTTTATAGCGACAGAAGTCAATATGAGAAGGGGATCAGGAACTAGAAAAAAGGACAGTTAGAGATGAATCACCTTAGAATCATTTGTACATGGAAGCAATGCTAGGAATCTCCCTGTATAGCTATCCTTATCTCAACTAGAAAAACGCTTTGTCTTTCTTATTATTGCTTATACTCTCTCCTCAACAAAATTAGAGATAAGGGCAGAACAGATTCTGCTTGGAAGTGAGGGGGAGTTGGGGGGAGAAGGAGGGGGCGGGGGTAGGGGGAGAAATGGCCCAAACAATGTATGCACATATGAATAAACAAATTTAAAAAAAAAAACCCTAGTACTAAGGGGGAATAAAAAAAGGTGGCATATTCACTGTGAAGGACCACAAGTCAAAATTCAGGAGTGAATTATTGAAACATACTACAACAGAGGTGAATCAGTAATTACTCCCACTGAAAGAATCCAGATTTTTTAAAAACTACATACTGTAAAATTCCAGGATTACAGAAAATATAGACAGATACAATAATAATGGAAAGCAGATGAATGATTACCTGCCCTATGAGTCCAGCCATGAGACAGGAGGGATGCAAAGGCAGCATTAATAAGGATAGGAGGAAATTTGGGGGGAGGGTGCTAGATAGGTTTACTATCTTGATTGTGGTGATGGTATGAATAAATATATCAAGCTTATCAGAATGAGTATTATAAATACATGCAGCTGACTATATATCAATTACACATCAATGAAACTTTAAAAACAAAATAAATGGAAAAATTTATTTAGAGGTACATTCCTTACTGCTTATGATGCTACAGTGTAAGCACACACACAGAGTGACAACCATTAACAAACAAAATCTGAAAGCATCCATGATGAGCTCCCCTTCCCTTTCTCTCTCTCTCTCTCTCTCTCTCTCTCTCCCCTCTCCCATCCCCCTCCTCTCATCTCTACATGCCAACTTAAAAAAGGGGAAAAATGAATTACATTATAGCCTAAATCAGGAAGAAGTAAGACCAGTTAGACTCAACAAAAACCTAGTTTTTGTTTCAAAGAACGGACAAGCAGCAAAGAAGGAAAATGGTTCCACATTTTCAGGAAAGGAAAGTTAAAGGGCGCTGAATGGAAACGAAGGGAAAACGTGAACCTTCACGGAAACCAGAGAGGACATTTCTTTTCCAATAAAAATGAATTTGCGTCTAAGTACCTTCTACCAGCTACTTATACCATTGCCATGTGTCTAGCTAGGCAATGCACCATAAAAAATAAATACCGTTAATGTGAGGGAAGCAGCAATAAAAATGGCAAGTTCCCCATTCAAAATTTATTATACTGAGTCACTGCATTGCTCAGCCTCCCACCCTACTTGTTTTTAAGCCACCTCTCTTTGCCACCCGTTGGGATTTGTTTGGGGATATAAATCACAATATTTACGTAAGCTGGCATTTCCTTCCCGTAAAATCCCATTCCAATTTCCAGGCATAAAAGACATTTCCTCCAGGTAAAATCATTTTACTAGAGACATCAAAAACAGCTCAAGAATTGCATCATAATGAGAGGCTGATGTGATGAACACATTGGACTCAAAATTATGGTCTGCATGGAGTTGAAATCATTCATTCACGGGGCTGTATGAAGCCTTCTAGTGCACAAGAAAAATAAAAAAATAAAAAAATGGCTCCAAGTCAGTAGAAGAAAAGTGGAGGTGCCATCCATAGTTCTACTGTGTAAGACCCTGCATTGAGGGGGGGCAAGTACTTCTGTTTTAGTTTTGTGCTTTGGGGTTTGGTCGTTTCCCTCTCCTCCACCTCCAATCTCTCATCCAACAAAGTGGTTGGGTATTTTTAGCGAGAAGAACTGAAGGGCAAGAGAGTTCAGGGGGATAGGAAAGTGTATTTCAGCTTTGTGCCTTGGTGCCATAAGTGACAGAGCTGGGATTCCAAACCTGGCAGGCTCCAGACTACTACATTCTCTCTCATGACAAAAGAAAAGCACTCGTTCAGGTCACAGCTGTGTAGGCAACATGGAGGTAGATGAAAACTCAAGTTTTCTCCCATTTGGTCCATCACCAGAAAAAGTGTCAATTAAATCCTAATTGCTGCATTTCCAGTTACTAAAAATAACACAGGGGAAAAGAACAGCCACCTAACTTTCAAATCTCCCAAGGCATCTGCCGTCTTATGGTAATCACTTCCTCACATTCAGGCAGAATGTGTACACTGTTAGGAGTAAAGTTATATAATAATAGCATCTCACAATGTCACTCCATCGGCAATGTTTGCTTCAAAGCAGAATTTAATAAGATGAAAAAACGTAACAAAAAGCAACACAAGACCATGAGCAGTAAGGAACTAGCTTCAGAGAATATCAAGACCCCACAAAAATATCACATGTACTGAATAAAAAGATCCTCTAGGTTACATTAATTTCTCCAACAAGGGAAAAGCGCTATTGGTGCAGGAGGCAAAAATTATACAATTTACTACCAAAGAATTAGACTTTTACCCTTAGCTTTCCACCAACCACCAAGTCATCTTGGTCAATTCCCGTACTGTACCAGGTATGAGTTTATCAAACAGTAGAATGGACCAAAGGTCACCTGCTAGAGTGTTAGAACCTCCTGTTCAGTCAAATTAACATTCATTCTATTTTTCTGTTCTCACCCACTGCTTCCTTTGTCCATCTCTCAACCTCAGCATTATTCACATTTTGGATCGAAGAATTCTTTAAGGGAAGGTGGCTTTCCTTGCATCGCAAGAAATTTAGCAGTCCATCCACAGCCTCTATCCATTAGATACCAGTAATGCCCCCTCCAGCATTTGTGACAACCAAAACACTTCTGTAGACATTGCAATACCATCCCTGGGGGTGGGGGGAATCACTTCCAGCTGAGAACCACAGCCCTAAAACTTCAGTGATAAGCATAGCTCCTCCAGTAGGTAAGACACTACAGTGACCAGGACATACAAGATGCCCACCTCCAGGGAGCTCATGTTCTAACCCGGAGCAGGATTCATTTTAATCCTCATCAAAATCAAAACCACAGTCATTATCAGTGGCAATCTACATACTATGTACATAGAGTTAGCCTTTATCATCTAGGGATAATAATACTACACATAATAGTTTAAGAAAAACTGTAAAAGAGTGACTAAAAACATCATTAAGTAAACACTTGAAAACAGGTAATACATAGCTGAGTCCACCAATTCAGTTTAATGATTAGAAAGGACAAGCAGACAACACAGGCCACCTGATGTGATCCAACAGGAAGAATGGAGCACCACCATTGCACTTTCACCACCTAAGCCACTCTGCCAGCACTAAACTCCTTGACTTCTTAAACGATAATAACTCATTAAAATGCTAAACTCTCTTATAACTTCAGTCCTGTGTATTTTAAATAAATGAAAATTTTAAATTAATCTTAACTCTCATCAAACTTTTCAACTTGCTTTGAATGTATGTGTTACATAGCTTTTCGTTAAATCACCTAAATTTAAAGTTAAAAAAAAATCTTCATTTTAGCTTAAGACACAAATAAAAGACTAAATGAATTTAATAAGCAGCCTTCATTCTTACCATTTCCTAGTGTCAAATCCCTAAAACTCACACCTGCAATAGACATTTCAAGAGCCAAGTCCATTCCAGTTCTATCCTTTTGTAATTTATTTAAAAATTGATATCCATCTACTATTTCCCTCACCTCCTGGAACACTGGTAGATACCTCATTCAGTTTCTCCTTTTTGGGATTAGACTTTGAGCACATGATAAAAGCGAGAGCACACAAGGGAGGGGTGAGGATAGGTAAGACACCTAAAAAATTAGCTAGCATTTGTTGCCCTCAACGCAGAGAAACTAAAGCAGATACTTTAAAAGCAACTGAGGCCAATAGGAAAAGGGGATCAGGAACTAGAGAAAAGGTGAGATCAAAAAGAATTAACCTAGAAGGTAACACACACACACGGGAAATTAATGTGAGTCAACTCCCTATATAGCTATCCTTATCTCAACCAGCAAAAACCCTTGTTCCTTCCTATTATTGCTTATACTCTCTCTTCAACAAAATTAGAGATAAGGGCAAAATAGTTTCTGCTGGGTATTGAGGGGGTGGTGGGGAGAGGGGGTGGAGTGGGTGGTAAGGGAGGGGGTGGGGGCAGGGGGGAGAAATGACCCAAGCCTTGTATGCACATATGGATAATAAAACAATAAAAAAAATTAAAAAATAAAAAGAACAAAGGTAAACAATGAGCACAACTTTAGGCCCTTCCTGGACTGGAGATGTCACTGGAGGACAAGCTTTGCTGCCTAGCCTTTGTTGGCCACAGACTTTCCTTCCCACAAGTGCCCCTTCTCACAGACTCAAAGTCTTTTTCCTTTGTCTTGTCACTTCTCTAAAAATTTATGGTTCTTTGTTGAAATTGATATGCAGGAATCAAAAGCCACTTCTTTGAGAACTACTCATTTCCTGGGTATCTCCCATGTATATATGAAACATGTCTATGTTAATAAACTTGTGATTGTTAAAAAAAAAAAAAAAGTTTCTCCTTTTCGATGAGTTTTAACTCAACTACGGTATTCATGTGGAGTGGGCCTTGGCTTGGGTCAGACAGGCAGCAGTCCACTTTTCCCTCCTGTTGCTGAGAGGTGCTTACCTTAAATACTGTTTCAGGGCACTTGTTATTGTCTTCACTTCCCAATCCACAGAATTCTCCAGGTCCAGCTCATTGCATGTTTTTACATCTAGTGAACAAATAAAAGAGGAAAACTAAAACCGTGAACATTCAAAGGCTCTCCTGACCAGCTCACAGAGCTCCCATTTTTAAGTAGCCAAACAAATCATTAATCCTAGAGTTTCCTACAAAACAAACATTATATGCAATTTCTTTGTAATAACCTAAGTTGTGTTCTATTACGAGACATTTCTAGCACTCCAGAAAGTCTGTAGTGGAAATTAAAGCAAAAGAAGATAAGCTTTGGACTAGCAGAAGGAAAAATTAAACACACGATAGCATTTCGAGATCCACAACTGCAATCCATATGGAGTTAAGTTATCGTCATCATTGCTAAAGCTATTAAGTAGCCAAGGCTTAGCACAAGTGGCATTTTCAGGTGAACGAGTAGTACAACCAGTCTCAGGTGCCACATTCCAAGATTCATATTTATACATATTTTTCTGAAGATGAATCCATGTCCAACCAAAACAGAAATATGATGGCACGCAGACTTAGAAAATCTTTTATGGTTTAACCTGATTTAAACATTACATAGTATGTATCTGTATCAGAACATCACATGTACTTCATTAACATGTATAATCATTATGTCTTTTTGTGTCAGTTAAAAACAAATTTAATTAAGAAATAAAATCAGAGTAAAACAAAGAAACAGTTACTTGAGGAGAAGGGTTATTTATGTGCCAACTTTCACACTGTCATTACAACATAAATGTTCATCCAGGAAATAGTTACTAGATGACTCTGGGCAACAACTTTGACAGTCACTTTAAATTAAACTAGTTTTCTTTATCTTAAAAGTATGTTACTGACATGCTGCTTCCAAATGGTCATTTAAATAACCAGAAAGTTCTAAAGAGGAGGTGTGTGGTGTAAAACAAAATGAGGGGACGGGATCAATCCGTATTGAGGTAAAATGAAAGCATGGTGACAAAGGCAAACCCTCTGTAATGTGGTGGCATCTTTGATCCTTGTCCCTCTGGGCCAGTGAGCCCAGTGTGACTGCAGCAGGGATGAGCTGGGTTTCAATGCCCACACTAACCTGGGCCAGCCAGCCAGCCCAAGCTAGGGAGTCCCAAACCGACATGAACTTCAGGTTTGCATCTGCTCCAGGGTGATTACAAATGCTCTCACACAACTAGTGTGAGCATCAAAGCAAATCAAGAACACAGACAGACGTTCATGAATTATGAAATGTAGCACATTACTGCCACAAAGTCAACCAAAAAGCCTGAGCATTCAGTGGTGGTGCCCACCTACAGGAAGGGGGCAATAAATAGGTTACAAGGAATGGTGCAAAACCATCACTACAAACATGTCTGGCATTCTGTACTCCTGTTGTGAGGAGAAGAAAATAGATTCATGAAAGAGACTCTCTCCCTCTCTCTAGAATGGTATCTCAAAAAGACCAAAAACACGAGTTGTTTCTGAGTGGTTTTCTCCCCTCCCTTACACTATATTTGTCTACATAGGGAAGAAAACATCTTGTTAGGATTTCCTTTTTAAAAGCACTAAAAAGAAAAAGCTGTCAAAATGGGACTGCCACACTAAGTCACGCACACTGCCTGAAAAGTTTTAGACTTGGGCATGACAAAGAATGGATGACAACTCAATGTTGGACTCAAACTTTTTGAAGGTAAAACAGGAAGTAATGGTTGTTTTACATCCATAACGTCATGCATATGAAGTCAATTACTCAAAGGTCTGGAGACTTTTTAACCACTTCAACATTTCTTGATTATGGCAACTGACAGCCATAAACTACAATGGCAATTGACACTGATTACATTTTGATCAGTTCCTGCAATTCAGAACTCATTTGTTACTGAGCCTGTCAGACAAGCCACAGATACATTCAAGAAATCAAATTAAGCACCATGATTAAAGATGCAATCCTTTATAACTAGGACTAAATAATTCTGTTCTAACGGCTTTGCCAACCAATTACTTCTGTAACTGAATATTCTGTCTCTCATTAAATCAATTATTTAAATCTCATTTTAACATACAAGTCAGATAATATTTTCAATCAACTTGCTACTGGCAAATCACCATTTTAAAATCCAAGAACCCTACAAAGGAAATCTTTTATTTCCAATTTTCTTCAGAATTATCATTCTGTATTTTGAGCATTATATTCTTCCCATGGAAAAAGTAAGTTGCCCCTCTAAATTCATGGAATAAAAAGCAGCTGTCACAGCAGAAGCTAATGACTACATACGGTCTATGTTATTAATCTTCCACTAAATTTTCACTGTTTTCCAATAATTCAGTCATCTTTAGCCATCCATTACAATCAGTAGGTACACAAGGACTAGGTGGAATTTGTTAATAACTTTATTTAGGATTCAAGTTTTTAAGTACTTTTGGAGTATTCATTCAGAATGTATGTTTTACAATAAATAAGGGGGAAATTTTGCTTCCCTTCTAACCAAAGAACAACATATCTCATGATCAGTTCAAAATCTAAACTAACAAACATAGCTAGAGAGCTGATTTCTACTGGGTGACTGTCTCCTACTCATTATTTCTTTGGAACAGGAACTGTGTGGCCCAACCTAAATGCAATGTGTCCTTTGAGGCAGGAGCTGAGAGCACTCCACATGCGTTTGGGACCAACGTGAAAGCCCCTGAGATGCACAGTGACCAGGTGAATTTTGTAAATATGCTTTATAATCAAAAGTCAGAATCTTTTCAGCTACCTTACTTCAGTTTTTTCCCCAATCTATGCAACATAGTCATTCTACAATAGTATAAATAGTCATTTTTTTAAAACAAAACTCTTCTAAATTTAGGCGTTGTTTTTTTGTGGTTGTGTGTCTAAAGCTAAATTAAATCATCCAGCTGATTTTTGCAAGTAAGATTTAGACATAACCACTGAATCCCCTAATCCACATTTACTACCACGTTTTCTTATAATTCCCCCTTCCTCTGCTCTGGGTTCTTTGAAAAACGGGGAAGACAATCCTAAGCCGTACCACGCTAACTTCCAACTAACAACTGTAATTCATCTTTTACATTCTCTATTTACTAAAAATGACTCACCTAAAGACACTACATCTGGTATTTCAACCTGCTCTCCTCAGTTGTTCCATGTTTCTATTATTTAAAAAAAACAAAGCAAACAAAATATCCTTCTGCCACACTGTATGTGCCCTGAAGTAGAGAGAGAAGGGGGAAGGAAAAGAAAATGTTCTCCACATGACAAGAAGGCAAGTGCCCAATTGTGCATTTTCCCTTGGAAACTTAAGGAACTTGGTCCAGGGTAAAGCTAAGAGGGGGCTCAAAATTCAACACAATGCTGCCTCCATTCCGTAGAGGAGGAAGGCAGCTGCTCTCTCCTTCACTTAGCCTGGAGGAGCATAAATGATTTCTCTACTTAAAGAACTTTCCATGATGAACTGTCATTGCTGCTTCAGTCTGGTCAGAGAGAAGAGATGAGGAGGGTGAGGAAAAGGGAGGAGAGGAGGAAGAAGGGGAGGGAAAGGAGGAGGGGGTAGAAGAGTAGGAAGGAAGAAGAAGAAGAAGAAGAAGAAGAGTAGGGGTGGGAGGAGGGGCACAAGGAAGAAGGAGGATAATGGAGAAGAACATTTCTGTATTTTAATCTTAACTGTGAAAGAGGAAATACACATAAAGCAATCAGGAGACCATGGAGGAGAATAAGCAAGAGGTGAAGAACCTATTCTTCTTTTAGAAAGCACCACCTCTACATGTAAGGATTTAAAGGAAGACTGAAAGTATTTTAAACACAAACTGCAAAACAGTTTATGTAAAAATGGCAATAATAAAAGAAAAACTCAAGTAAATAGCTCTCAAGAAGTAGAGTCAAGTAAATGCAGCTCTCCTTGAAAAACACAAAACGACTTGGCACTTTTCCTCAGACACTTAAAAATGTGCTTTGAAAAAATTCAAATCTGAAATAAATATATTACTTTCAAGAATAATAGAAGACACTGATTTGAAAAATCGAAGTTAAAAATTTGGCAGGCCCATCCAAATTTTTTTTTCACTTTAGGATATGTAATCTTAAAACAACAGAAATGGAAAGAGAAAGAGTAACTACAGGACTGTGCATGCATGACGTAAACTCTAAAATCCTTTTCTGAGAGATGTTTGAAATTATTTCAATTTGAGGACTCAATCAGAATGAAAAAAAGGAGTATCTTACATTGACTAGGAAATAGTGAACAAATGTACTTTGTCAAGACCTAAGGTTTGCATAAATGCTCATGCAAATCTGTTTTTGACTGATAATCTTAGATGACTTATAAATGAATAAAAGCAAATTTACATTGTGCAGCTTTAAGAGATGAATTACTTAATGAGGAAATAACAGGTCAGTATCTTCCTCTCAGGCCAAATCCCTAACTTCCTGTTTGCCAAATATTACTAAAAACCCAGCAGTCCCCGGGCTAACAGCGTGATTGAAGTTATGACACACTTATGTCCAGCCTTCTCTACTTTGACACTCATGGAAAGTAAAGACAGTTCTCTAGGTCATGAATGTTTGAGGGTTTAGATATTTAAAAACACCTTGTAAGTTAAGGGCCATCTTGGGACATTTGCTCTGAGTAGAGGAAACAACCATCGGAGTTCAGCTATGCAGGGCATGTAGGATTTCAGGGGATTAAAAACAAATTTTGAGAAAGCTTAACACTTTAGAGTGACCACAGAAACGCCCTGCACAAACTCTTTGAACATGATCAGGGATGTGACCAAATGATGCCAGGATCCTTTTGGCCACTTTATCACCAAGATTTGTGCCTTTCAGCTCAAATCTCCTATTCCGATTCCAACAGTCTTCCAGTTCTAATCATCGCTAACGCTGTGCTGGGAATAAAAAGTGTTTCTAATTTTAAAATTAAGTAAAAAGCAGATGCTGTCATCCCATTACATTCTTCCAGCTGCTACTGAGCAACTGGCGACCTAAGTCTATTTAACTTGGAGCCCAGAAACGGTGAAAAGGAAAATCTGTCTGCTAGAATTGCACACCCAAGTTAAACCAGGGAGGCAGAAAACGAAAACAGCTCATGAAAGTGAATGTATTCTAACAAGGCTATCCAACTCATGACAGGCAATTTTTCCTGTGGTTAATAGCTTTGAAAAAAACAAAAAAAGTTGTTGCTTATGAAATCCTTAATTCAAATACCAAATCATACTGCGAAACAAGCAATGCTACCCGTAAGATGTCAGTTGATTTTGTTCATCTTAGCCTACACTTCCTAAAAGCATTGCCACAATGCTTCATGATGCAGACAGGTTTAAACACATTCCCAGCATACCTGAGGGCACTGTTAATATTGATTAATTAAAGTGAGATATCAAATAAATTAATATGTAGCAAGGTCCAGGACGACAGATTGGTTTGATTTCCAGGCCCTCCGGGCTGATGAGTTATCATCACTCCTCACGAGGCAGCTACTTTGGGGTGAGGGAGAGGGGAGCGTCTTACAGGTGGCACTGAGCTGACAGCAGTGTGCAACGCAAAAGCGCTTTGTCATTCACATAATGTCTGGGGTAATGAAATGAATTCACTTTCTGGCTTCCTCTAGTCTGCGATGCCAAAGAACACTGTGTTATCAGCACAGATGGAGCGTGCATGGTTCTGGAGGAGAGCCTGGTGCGAACTACAAACAAGCTACTGTGAATACCAATGACGCCCTGAAAATCAGGCTCTTGCTGTCAAATGACAGTTTTGGAAGCTCCATAAAAATGAGTGAGTCCCAGTGGTCTTGTCCAACCAAATGTACCGTCAAGATTCTGGACAGGCAATTTGGAAGTTGTGCAGAGCCTGACTGCTACATTGCCGTGAGAAGCGAGCAGTGAAAGACATTTACCCATGAGCTCCATTTGTTTTTCCTTCCCTTCTTAATAATTAAGTCACGTAGATAACCTAAGATGATGCAAATAGTAATCTATTTCTGAGTCAACTGCCTCTGCTCAGGAGACAACTCATCTAAGCAGAACAAGAAAACAATGGATTCTCAAGTATGCTGTATGTTACTATGAAATAGTAAGTGGTGAAGTCAACAAACAAACAAATAATGAATGGAAAATGATTAGAAAAGAGGCATACCCATCAACACACTCAGAAGTCTCTGGACCTTTGAACTCACCCCCACAACTCTGTACAATCCTTGGTCATTTATACCTATTGGAAGAGACAATATGTTAGCAAAATATGAGGCCATCAGATTTTAAAGGCTGTTAAATAGTTACACTCAGAATCTTTGCTAACTCCCATTAGCAGCATTCCTGTTGACTATAAAAATAACATTTCACAAAAGTATTTGCTGACTTGTTTTACCAGCTTTGTATTCGTCAGCAGTGGTTGGAAAATAACCTCATAAAACAATGTTTCGTGTGAGCTAAAACATAACGAGTTGATGTTAAGAAAAAGTCAGACATCATGGAACAATAAAACATATCTCAATGCAATTTATAAAGACACTTTAAAACATTTATATTTACTGTGTTCACTTCAGTCTGGGAAAGATTTAGCCTTTTAAAAATAATACTATTAGTACATAGAAAGAATTTGTTTATTGTCACCACAAGCTACACAACAAAATTAATCAACTCAATGCAGTCTCTCTCTGTAGAGACCTAAGAAGCAGGTGTTCTTGAACGCAAGAGACAAAGACAAGAAAAGTGGTTGTCAGTCATCGCTTAGTGTGCTGAACCAATGTCCTCATATGAATTCTGATCTCAGCAACTGGAAAAGTCATTTTGGAAATAATTAGGGAGCTGGTACACATCAGGATTAGGTAAGAAAATGTCATTTTTTTTAAAGTTGGATACTCTAAGGGAGGGAAGTAAATTATGTCAGATTTGCTTTAAGAGGAAGAAAGGAATAAATAAAGCACCTATGGAACGGTCCACATAATTGTTGAATCTGGGTGACACAAATATGGGAGTTCACTGTATCAATCACTCTAATTCTATGCTTGGAACTTTTCATAATAAAATGACTTCCCGAAAATGTGGCCTTTTGTATTTACTTCCAAAAAGTTACAGTTTTCTGGCTGTTTATTTTCTACACTATGAAAGTTAAAGCTAACAACTGGTTGACAAGGAAATGGTGTCTCTAGTTCCCAGTGTTTCCAGAACAAAATAACCCACCAACAAAAAGGTCATGGACTTTGCTCAAAGTAGGGGCTTACTCTATTCATCTGCCTGTATGGACTGATGGGAAGAATAGTACAGAGTCTAAAGGATTGAATTCAGGTGCAGCTCAGACACTAATGCACGCCAGAAGACCTCTCTGGGGCTGGATGCACATCTAAGGACAAGGACTGCATCCTATGTCCTGGGTTATGCTGAGAGGGAAATGAGATGACGTAAACACATGTTCTGTAAATTATAACACACAGCACACACATGAACACTCATTATTCCTTGCAAAAATCAGAATTTTATTTTTCTCCTTTTGCCTTTCATTTAGTCCTCTTTACTCATTTTTTTATTGTTTTATTATTGATATGTGCATACAATGCTTGGGTCATTTCTCCCCCCTGCCCCCACCCCCTCCCTTACCACCCACCCCACCCCCTCCCTCTCCCCCCTACCCCCTCAATACCCAGCAGAAACTATTTTGCCCTTATCTCTAATTTTGTTGTAGAGAGAGTATAAGCAATAATAGGAAGGAACAAGGGTTTTTGCTGGTTGAGATAAGGATAGCTATACAGGGAGTTGACTCGCATTGATTTCCTGTGCGTGTGTGTTACCTTCTAGGTTAATTCTTCTTGATCTAACCTTTTCTCTAGTTCCTGGTCCCCTTTCCTATTGGCCTCAGTTGCTTTTAAGGTATCTGCTTTAGTTTCTCTGCATTAAGGGCAACAAATGCTAGCTAATTTTTTAGATGTCTTACCTATCCTCACCCTCCCTTGTGTGCTCTCGCTTTTATCATGTGCTCAAAGTCCAATCCCCTTGTTGTGTTTGCCCTTGATCTAATGTCCGCATATGAGGGAGAACATACGATTTTTGGTCTTTTGGGCCAGGCTAACCTCACTCAGAATGATGTTCTCCAATTCCATCCATTTACCAGCGAATGATAACATTTCGTTCTTCTTCATGGCTGCATAAAATTCCATTGTGTATAGTCCTCCTTAAGCTTTTTAAATGTCCTAGTTTTCTTTGCTTTTGTGCCAAATTGTGACACTCTCCCCCCTCACAAAAAAAAAAAAAAACCTTCCTATGTTGAAGTCCTAACTCCTAATATCTCAAAATCTGACATATCTAAAGATAAGGTTTTTTAAAGTGTCAATTTAAGATGAAGTCCTCACTGGGGTCATTCAAAGGAGAGGAGATTTGGACATAACAGACAAAGACCAGATAAAGACACAGGAAGAAGACGGCCACCTACAAGCAAGGAGAGTGGCATCAGAAGAAATCAGCCTGTCAATAGCTTTATATTGGCCTCCAGCTACCAGAAGTGTGATGTCATCTGGCCTGTGATGTTTTCAATGACTACAAGAGAGAAGAAAAGGGCAACACAGCCCTGCCAGGACTTGGAAAAATTAAAAGGAAACTGCCAAGCTAAAGCAAGAGGAGAAAAGACTGAGCCTCATTCCTTAGAGGACACGTCCAGATAGTTTAAAATACCAGAGGATGTTGTTCAATTCTACTCTATTTAAGAAACCTACAATACTTTGACCTCAGTGGCAGAAGTCAAAAGAGCAAGTCGAATTGTGCAGTCAGTCAAATAAATGTGTGCCTCTATGAAAAGTGCCTGAAATAAACGGTGAGATGAAATAAGAATGTTACTTCAGCACTAATGATCAGTCTGTGCTGGTAATTACTATCAGATAATTGATCAAGTTCAAATTCATCAACCTGGGAGAGGTACAGACTTAATTGCTAATGCGTAACGACAAGTGCAAGGGGGAATTAAAGCTACTCAACAGAGTTTTTCCTTTTATTAAATGAAATTTAAATTTCGTACAAAAGCAGTTTAGAAAAGGCATGTAAAACAATCAAGTCATGTAGGATTTTGTTTCTTGTTAAAGGCTCTGGACTAACAAGATGAGAATTAGAACATACCTTGTATCCAGGCACACATACGTGTTCACACAAAATTATCAATATGTTCAATTACTATGCAAATCATTTTAGTGGGTTAATCACATCTTTTCCAGCTTCTTTTCCAAAATTCCCTCTTTCAGCCAAAGGAATCACTATTCTAGTGGCAGAGTATTAGGATTTTGAAATTAGCTTTGACTTCCTGTCACTTCCCAAATTCAACAGGTCAACGTCCACTCTTTCTTCAAACTGCAGACTAACTGCCTCTTCATGAACTGTATGCACCCACATTTATTTTTATTTATTTATTTATTTATTATTTATTTATTGAGGAATCCCTGCAAAGAAACATAATCTATTCCCAACACCATCTTTTTTTCTTCCCCTATCTCTCTACTGTCCAAGGCATTTTTATTACCAAAGTTCCTCCCCAACTCCCCAGCCCCATTTTAAGAGTAAGCCCAGCTCAAGGATACCTGCCCCAGCCTTAACAGGTACCTAAGGCATAAACAAATCGGTATTCGGAACAGAGCTACCTCGCCTACCTAATAAATTGCAGAGAAGTCACCATAATCAGAGCACATGCACATATACCCACGTGCACACCACCCGTCCTGAGTATGGTCAGGCTGAAGGCTCTACCCCTCCCTCCACGAATTTACTCAGCTGCCATATATTTATTTGTCAAAAACGTGCCAGGTATGATTCTAGCTGCCCAAGACTCAACAATGACTAAAATAAGGTCCCATACAAATGTTAAAGACCAGGTAACCCTACCATTTCTGACACCAGCCCATAGCAATATTCCCTTTTTTAAGTATAACTCATGATTAATACCATTTGATTCAACATTTGAGTACATTTCAAAACAAGCTCATAACCCCTAGTCACAATTCCAAAAATTAAAAGCCAGAAAGCTTGGCCTGACATTGGGTTCGGTCTTTATTTCCATCATGATATAAGTAATTTGCACAACAAACCTATCTCCACCTACAAATGAATATCCTATACCATATATGCCCCCAAATTACCTTTTATATTTAAGAAAATCTACATTCTAAAACACATGTAGTCTTGGAATTTTCAAATAAACTACTGTGGACCTGTATTCCACCTTTTCTGTCCCAATATATAGAGATTTTTTTAAGTGTACAGCAGGAGAGTTTATTGAGATAGAAAAGTGTAAAGTGGGAGGTACAGTCCTCAGAGATTAGGGACAGGGTGCCAAGAGAGTTTGCCCAAGAAATAATGTGATCTGAGATTTTTAATCCTTTTTCTCCATGGCTTGCTTAATCTTTATGCTAATTAGGTGTGCAGAAAGCAGCATTTTGTTTGGCTGTGCCTACAGCATTCTGATTGGTCAGTCCTGAGTCCTGCCTTTGCTTCTTTTGACTGTTTAAGGTCACAGGAAGGTCATAATGGAGGTTTCCAGGGTCCCTTCCTTCTGTCTCATTCCCTCTGAAGGAATAACCCTAACTGCCTTTAGGGAAAAAGGGGCAACAACCACTCTTGGGCTACTTCAAGCTAGAAAAGGACACTGGTAGGGGACAACAGTCGGGTCCTTCTCGCAGAGACCCATCTAAGGGTCCCTGGTGGATGAAGGTCTTTATTTGAAGCTCCCATCTTTATCCCAAACCCAGGAGGTGACAAGGGAAATTTAGTGGCACGAAATTTAGTTGATGGGTTGCCAGGACCAGGACCAGGAGACACCCAGTTATTTTTTACTAAAAGAGGGATCAAACAGAAATTAGTGAAAACCATCCTTTAAAGTAAAAGATGTTTTCATATGTGAATAAAACCAATAGGATTTTTAAGAAGAATCATAAAAACATTAAGGACAATGTATAAAGTCTACTGAAAACACCTGTCATTTATAGAAACAGTATAGTAGATTGATAACTGCTAGTTTGTAATTCTTGCTTTGCTTTAGGCTTTAAAGGATATTGTCTCTAGTGAGGGAAAGCTGTGGGGACTTTAAGATGGATTTTAACAGGGGTGGCATCAATTGCTCTATTTTACCTGAGAGGCCCATACTTCTGGATCCACATCTGTCTCCAGTAAGGATAGACTTAATAATTGCCCCGGTGCCATGAGAATAGCAGTGTGCATACAGCCAAAATGTCTCTCCCC